AGAATGGCCCCTCTTAATTTTGATATTGACTAAAATTGCTGAAAATGGTGTACTGCTGTCAAATTCCAGAATTTCCCCTGCCTTTGTTTACCTGGGCCTTTATTCATAAAACTTCACATGCTCAAGCATGGATCTGAGCTCAGGCTAACCTTATGTGTAACAGTCATAAGGTCAAGTGTAAACATTGAAAACAGTATTCTGCTTCACTTCTCCCCTGAATTCTTCCAAGTCGTAGAAAAAGTGTGAAGTATTATTGATTTATTAACGGAACACGAATATGGCCTTGAGCACAATATCTGAGTTCGGTTTCATGAATGCGTGCTCTGGTGTTTATAAACACCAGACCTATTGTGTTGCGTTCTGTGTTTACCCTGTGTTATAAACATTATACTTATTGTTTTTTAGGGTCATCTGAACTGTATGGCGTGGCTGTTCCTACTGGTCATCATCGGAGTAATCCTCATTTTTGTGGAGGTAGGAGGATACAGTATGGCCGACTACCTTCCCTATAAGGCCCACCCCATCTTGGGTATCATCATTCTCATCTGTGTAATCCTCAACGTAAGTGTATATTGACATTTCTGATAACCGATTCATTTCTTTAAAATCTTTGACAAGAAACTTCCACTGAATTAAAGGTACAAAGTGTAGCAGTTTGATTACCTATGATTTGTATTAAATTAATACATTCTTTTCCCCCTAATTCAATCCAGAATTGTATGACCATGAAATGTTAAAATCTTCAAAAAATATTTTTTCATCAGTGTTACTGGCAGATGTGACAGTTTTGTCATTAACCAGTTTTAAGATTTAGACTATTTCCTAGAATTGATGATTAAATTCAATCGCAGGGATGTTACCATACCCGACACTACAGGCTGACATCTTTATATGTTGTGATTGTTACTGCCACTCCAGCACTGGTTCTAAGACTCTTAGGAACAAAGGTGTTCGATTACTTCATTAAACCTGTTTCTGTTTGTGTAGCCCATCATCGCCCTGATCCGACCAGAAGATGACCACAGATGTCGCCCAGTCTTTAACTGGTTCCACTGGGCATTTGGCACTATTGCCTGGTGTCTAGCAAGTAAGTTGAAACCATATATACATGTATGTGTATATTCCATGTTGAATAAAAGTCTGACAATTGTTTTGAAAAGCATAAGTGTATATCCCTCATTTAACAGTCTGAATGTTTAAAACAATTATGCAAAATATTTGAATCAATGATCAACTTCTTTTGTGAACGATTTGTTAAAACCCTTTCACCCCTATGTAACTTCGGTAGACTCTACCATGCATT